CAACGATCAGCAACTAGGCTATTTACGACGGAGACCAGGAAATTATCCTATATTTTGAGATTTATTGTTTCAAGAGCTTTTGGTAGTTAATTTGGGATAATGCAGGAAGATTTACTTGTTTAAAGAGTTTTCGGTAGTTACTTTTGAGTCATTAGAACTTAAGGAATGGGTGTTAAGGGAGGGGGGGTGCAGAAGGACCAAACTTCCGACATGCGCTTCGCGCCCTTCACTAAAAAAAAATTCTCGGCGTTTTTACCAAGGTCCATTGGTACCTTTACCATCTCACTTTTTTTACCAATTATTGTTAATTTTACCAAGACAGACTGGTAAGCTTACTTAAAAACCGGTATTTTTACTGTTTTTCTCAGGTAAGAAAACCACTTTTATTGGTAATCGATTCCCGGTAACTTTGCCATTTTATCTCGGTAATTCTACCACAGTCGATAAAAAATATTGGCGTTTTTACCGGGGCCAGTAAAATTACCGAGAAAGTCAATAATTCAACCGAGATTTCCCGGTAAAATTACCAATTAAATAAATGGTAATTTTACCAAGAAAAAACTGCGATCAAATAGAACCCTGATTTCTTGGTAATTTTACCCTTTTCTTAGTAAATACACCGAGATTTTTTTTTTCAGTGTTTAACAAGACATTTCCCTGACGATTTGGAACTTAAGTCGTAATTCGGAAATTCAAAGACAATTGAATCAGTGAGAACGAAAATATACCAAATTGAAAATATAAAAATGTTACGGAGAAGCAAAATACTGCAAAGTTGATGAAGAAGTAACCACAAGATAATGTTATTTCATTAGACGCCTTAAAAACCATGCTCCAAGTCTTTCCCTTCAAAAAGTTGTGTCTAGTAGTAACTTCTTCCCCTACCGTACTGTAATTTACCTTCTTCTTTTTTCTCTTAAACATTTTCATTTTTCGACGTTGGCATGTTTTCATTCTCACTCATTTGATTATTATAATGATCAGCACAGTAGTTGGAACAGCGCTCAGCGACCCACGATGGATCGAGTCAATTAAAGAGGTCGGACATGACATTTTTTACCAAAACTGCAAATTTTTATGTTTATTTCGTCACATTTTAAACTTTAAAGGCAGCTCTTATAATAGAAAATTTTACAGTTAAACCAATGAAAACACTTTAGAACCTCAAAGATTTGTATAACGGAGTTAGAAGCGTCTACAGTTTCCAAATTTTGTCCGACCTCTCCTATTGACTCAATCCACTGTGCGACGGTGATCAGACCGAATGTGCGCCTTTAAAACCGGCGAGTAGGCAATTTCACGACACAGGAGCACGTTGATTTGTATCTCTTTCGCCGTCCACTTTTCACACTATTTCAAGCTTTTTGAAGAGAGGAAGAGTGTGAAGATTTGAGAATTCGAACAGGTGTCAAATTTTGATCGGTTTCCCCCCTTCTGATTGTATAAACCGCACCAAGCTCGTATATTACACTGGGAAAAAAAACACTTTGGATCTAGAGTCCAGACTTTTAAAAACATCGACAAGAAAAAATACTCTTGATTCAATCCGATTTAAGCTTAAATCAAGGACCAAGCCTCTTAATTTGAGCGGATTTCCTTTTGATGTAAGCTTAAATCTAATTGAATCAAGAGCCCTTTTTCTTGTCAATGTTTTCAAGAGTCTGGACTCTAGATCCAATGTCTTTTTTTCCCAGTGTATGACAGTTTACAAATCCTGGGTTGAATTAGTCTTGCACATGTTTACTTTTCAAGTTTTGTTTGCATCATGAGTCGTGTAAATTTATGCAATCCCAAGTGAAACGTTTCTGTCTTTAATTTTAATCAATGTAAAAAAAAAGTAATATGACTATCAATTTCATTAATTTTAGTATTTTGGTTGATTTGAAAATTTAACTAAAAACCAAGGACTTGTAAGTCCATTTGAACAGTTCTTAATCAATCTCCTCAAAAATTAATTTTAGCTTAAAACTTACTATGCTCTTCAGTAACATGACACCGATCTATTTAGTGTTTAAAGATAGGTCACGCTTCTTTCACTCATCAATATCTCGTTAAGACCCCAACTTATCTCCATTGATGCGCCCCTTCTCGTTCATCGTGTTCTAATGTCCGGTCCAAATTACGAGCAATTTAGATTCAAAATTTTCCCACCATTTTTTGATCTCGATACCGTATACTATCAAAATATTTTGATCAAACCCCTTCTTTCTTCAATCAAATTATTCTTCAGATTCGCTTTTCTCCTTGTCTTTTTTTCCAAAATTCTTATCCNCAAACTCTCCATGCAAAGATAGGGAGCAAATACATTGACAGGGCTGCCACTTTATTTGGGGACTCCAAAACTGAAAACACGGCAACCCTGCTAATGTATTTGCTCCCTATCTTTGCACGGAGGGTTTGTTTTGATGTGGAGGTGGACTCTCAGGGTAGCGTGGGATATCCCCTCCATTTTGGCCTCAACTTGAGAGCTTTTTTTGAGCTTGGGTGATGATTTCAGAGAAAACCAGTGGCACCATCGTGTTTCTCGCGAACTTATTTACATAAGAATAAATGGTCAAATCGCAAATCCCTCTTACATGCAACATCTCCATCGTCTCCGAACTTTTGAAAAAAATCCAAAAGGAATCCCGGTACTTTTGACGGTCACGGAGTGAGAGAAATTCGACGGTGAAACTACCAAACCACGTATCTCGTTTGCGGTGTTTAAAAATCTACGCTCACATTTGATTTTTTGAAGTAGACCAAATCAATATCATTCCTTGAAATTTTCACGGAATTTTCTCCGCACAAAGAGGAAAAATCACAGAAATTTTCAAGACTGGATGTTGAGTAGTTTTTCATTTAAAAAATAAAGTATGACAGGAAGTCTGCGACGTCGCAAACCGAGGTACGTGGTTTGGTAGTTTCACCGTCGAATTGGAACAAAAAAGTTGCGAATTCCGGAACTTTTGACATGGAATGGGAGCCCTGCGGCAGACGTATGTGACACGTCTTGGGTGGAAAGCGAGGGCTTTAGTAGGCCCAATGTGGCATTGGCGAAATCGATGAGCTCCTATTGTTTCACCTGTTGAGCGTTGAGTTGACGAGAGCTTCCCATGCTACCTGTTACTTACTCCGTGCAGTTGTTAATCATTTCAAGTATCCGGCCCCCGCCAGATCCCCCCGGACTTACGCTTTTCTCTCCCTCATTATTTATCAACTGAACACCGACAAAATATCTTCGAGGCCTCGCACCAGGTACTTTATCAATATAATCGATTAATTGATGTATTCCACAGTTGGAAGGGTTATTAAAGGAGGAGCGTAACCGCTAAATTTTCAGAAGTGAGTTTTCGACGGATTCAGTGGCGAGGCGTGAATGATCGATTATACACTGAAAAAAAAATCTCGGTGTATTTACTGAGAAAAGGGTAAAATTACCAAGAATTCAGGGTTCTATTTGATCCCAGTTTTTTCTTGGTAAAATTACCATTTATGGAATTGGTAATTTTACCGAGAAATCTCGGTAAAATTATCGTTCTCGGTAATTTTACTGGACCCCAGTAAAAGCGCCAATATTTTTTATCGACTGTGGTAGAATTACCGAGATAAAATGGTAAAGTTACCGGGAATTGATTACCAATAAAAGTGGTATTCTTACCTGAAAATAACAGTAAAAATACCAGTTTTTAGGTAAGCTTACCAGTCTGTCTTGGTAAAATTACCAATAATTGGTAAAAAAAAGTGAGATGGTAATGGTACCAACGGACCTTGGTAAAAACGCCGATAATTTTTTTTCAGTGTACTTTATCAATATAATCAATTCATTGCTGTATTCCACAGTTGAACGGGTTATTAAAGGAGGGGCGCGACCGCTAAATTTTCAGAAGTGAGTTTTCGACGGAATCTGTGACGAGGCGTGAATGATCGATTATAGATGTTTCCCCATTTGAAGACATAGTAAAGTATCTATTAACGAGGTGTTCGTTGGGAACACTCCTTTTATCGATCTTTTTCCATGGGATGAAATGGCAGATCCATCGATAAATCGCACAGCACGCCAAGCCACTGAACGGAATACTATTATTTAAAGGTCTAAATACACACGGAGATTAATCGCCGCGATAGAAAGACGAACGCCAATGGAGAGCGTGGATTTCGATCCATTGACGTCGATGTATCGAAATCCAGGCTTTCCATTGGCTTTCGTCTTTCAATCGCCGTGTGTATTTACGCCTGAAGGGTGGGTGCACCTTACTACTCAGTGATTCCGCAAATGCATCTTTCAACGTTCTTTTTTCACATTTGAACGCCTGCTCTAATGGAAAAATGGCTTAAATTCCGGACCACCCTTTTCAGCGTGGGGTTCTTCCCATGTTAAAAACTTCATCAAGGAAATGAACTGTGATTTTTGATATTTTCATCGAAAACGCACCCTCCTTGACCGTTATGCCGTTAAAAACGGCAGTAATGAACGGCTTTGCAGAGGAAGGAAGGGCGTATCTCTGAAAATTTTATAAAATAACGTCATTTCTTTAATCTCTCCACAGCGCGTGCCACTGTGACACGGGTACAAAAGTACCTATGCCACGGCTGGTATATGTAGATTATATTTAATGTTTGGTTATTGATCATTTTTATTTAACCTGTGTGGTTACTTCTTGACTGTCATACTACTGGTAAAAATGACAGTGTGGGCGATTTTGTGGAAGAAGGGCGTATTTAAGAGAATTTTAAAAAATCCTATTTCTTGCCCAATTTTTCCACAGCTCGTGCGGCCGTGGACCTGTTACGACTGATGTGTAGATTACATTTGGACCACATTTTGCAATAAGGAACCACTATGTATTTCTGGCTCATTTTAGAAATAACATATATGCTATTGGTTTCCCTGTACAGAAAGGTGCTTTTATGGAAGAGCCAGAGATAGTGGTTCCTCATTGCAAAATGTAATTCATTTAATTTTTGGTTTCCCATTATTTGTATTTTTATTTAACCCGTGTGGTTTGGGGATGTTTCAGACGGACGCTAAGATGGTTTTCGATGTAATTCAAAGGATGGAGGACACGGAGCCGTTCTCGGAAGAACTGCTCGCGGCCATGAAGCGGCTGTGGGTCGACACCGGGGTCCAGGAGTGTTTCGGCCGCTCCAACGAGTACCAGCTCAACGATTCTGCCAAATAGTAAGTCACAACTTGAGTCACCAAAACACCCAGACGCAACATTACAGGGAAGTGGCGGTCTAGGAAACCGGGAAAACAGGGAACTCGCGACGATCGGGAAAAGTCAGGGAATTTGCGGGAAAAGTCACGGAATTTGTAGGAAAAGTCACGGAATTTGTGACGACCGGGAAAAGTCAGGGATTTTGTTGGAAAAGTCAGGGAATTGGTGGGAAAAGTCAGGGAATTGGTGGGATCAGTCAGGGAATTTGTAGGAAAAGTCACGGAATTTGTGACGACCGGGAAAAGTCAGGGAATTGGTGGGACAAGTCAGGGAATTTGTTGGAAAAGTCACGGAATTTGTGACGACCGGGAAAAGTCAGGGAATTTGTGGGAAAAGTCAGGGAATTTGTAGGAAAAGTCACGGAATTAGTGACGACCTGGAAAAGTCAGGGTATTAGTGGGAAAAGTCAGGGAATTGGTGGGCAAAGTCAGAGATTTCGTATGAAAAGTTAGGGAATTTGTGAGAAAAGTCAGGTAATTTCTGACATTTCTGCTAACTAATCACTAAAACATATCACTAATCTTCCAACTGTTTACCCCTATGGTAATTTTTAAGGCTTCTCAATTTGTTACTGAATGTCTTCATCGATCATTTGATCTCTAAACGAGGAAACTATGCCTAAAGTTCAGCGAAAGTTAGCCTATTTAAGGAAAAAGGGGGAAAGGTGGACATTTTTTTCAAAGGTTAGAGAAAGTCAGGGAAAAGCACAGACAGACGAGGGAAAGTCAGAGAATTTGAAGGTAAAGATATTATGGCAACCCTGTCATGATTAGCACATCCTACCGAATTCTCTCGCTAAAATCCCTCTTGCGAATGCTATTTTTTCAACGTTGTAGTGGAGCCACTTTGAAACCGGCCAAATTCTCCACCAGACAAATTCAGTTACTCGGCCGCGCTTTTCGCAGAATTTAAGTCGACACATCAGACCGAATCGCAAATCCCTGGCTCTGGCCGGAACACAGCTCTTCCGGCGGCGCACAGTGGATCGAGTCAATTGGAGAGGTTGGGCATGAAATTTTTTACCAGAACTGCAAATTTTGATGTTTATTTCGTCACATTTTAAATTTTAAGGGGTGCTTCAAGAGGAGAATTCCGCGAAGAAACCAATGGAGCTACTTTTAGAACCACGGTGTTTATAAGTCCGGAAAGTCTGGAAATAGTACTGATTTTTGAGAGGCGGTCCGGGAGTACTGAAAAAATACGGAAATTTCGCAAGAAGGTCCGGAATTTTTTTCATTTTTTGTCATTTATGTCGCAACTTGAGCGGGAAATTCAAATTTTTGAAATTTTTCGAAATCCGTCAAATGGAGGTATACTGAAAAAGTACTGAATTTTTCTGTCGAGGAAGCACTGAATTTCTTGGGAATGTACGGAAGAAGTACTGTAAAAGTACTGAATTTTGACCAGCCTGTTTTAGTAGACACCCTGGTCGAACCTCAAAGTTTTGTATAAACGGAGTTATAAGCGTTCACTGGAAAAAAAAAAAACACATCGGATCTAGAGTCCAGACTCTTAAAAACATCGACAAGAAAAAATACTCTTGATTCAATCGGATTTTTGCTTAAATCAAGAACCAAGCCTCTTAATTCGAGCGGACTTCCTTTTGATTTAAGCAAAAATCTGATTGAATCAAGAGTATTTCTTCTTGTCAGTGTTTTCAAGGGTCTGGACTCTAGATCCAATGTGTTTTTTTTTTGTTTTTTTTTCCAGTGTGCGCCATGGCACGCTGCGGCGCAGCGGGCGGCCGACCAGCGCAGAGCGAAACGCGTACTGGCGCCTACAAACCTAACAGGGATACTTCACGGATTGCGCAATGCGTGAAGTATCCCTGTTAGGTTTGTAGGCGCCAGTGCGCATTTTGCGCAATGCGTGAAGTATCCATGTTAGGTTTGTAGGCGCCAGTGCGCGTTTTGCGAAATGCGTGAAGTATCCCTGTTAGGTTTGTAGGCGCCAGTGCGCGTTTTGCGCCGGCTCTAGATTCAATTCTGATTGAATCAAGAGTATTTCTTCTTGTCGATGTTTTCAAGAGTCTGGACTCTACATCCAATGTGTTTTTTTCCAGCGTTTAAAAATTCCAAATTTTGTCTCTTCATTCCAATTGACTGGATCCACTGTGGGGCGGCGGGGATCTCGGGACCCTCCGGGACGAGGGTGAAGATAAGGGACGACGCGGGTCTCAAGGAGGACGATGACGTCACGAGCGGTGCTGCGAATCTCGGCCCCGACCCTGTCCCCCATCCCTGGTTTTTTTCGCGACTCGACAAGGAAGCTCGCGAGTAATTAGCCGGCTATAAATATTAAAAAAGATGTCGCTCCTCCATCCGGGGTCGCATCGGCTTCCGGCTTTTAAGCCTCGGCTACGGCCAATCTTACACTACGGCAAAGGCCGTATGGATACTCGGGCGTTGCCGATTTTTCGGAAAACTCTTGAATTATTTCCCCTCAAATTGGTAAGACAGGGTGTCTACAAGTTCGGAATTTCCGGAAAGTCAGGAAATAATACTGATTTTGAAAGCGCTGCGAAGTGCTGAAAATGTGCGGAAATTCCGCTTAAAGGTCCGGAATTTTCCATTTTTTCGCAATTTGAGAGAGAAATTCAGATTTTTAAATTTTTGAATTTTTGAATTTTGTCATAAATGGAGGTACTGAAAAAGCACTGAATTTTTCCGCTGAGGAGGTCCTATATTTCTCGAGAATGTACTGAGAAAGCACCGTAACTGATTTTCGGGCACCTTATCAAAGGAAATTTGGCAACTCTCGAATGTTCATACGGCGTTCTTCCTTAGCACGGCAGTATGGAGAGACTAGGAAAATGCATTCCTCCGATTACGACGTTGGTTTCCACCACTCGTTTTTTATTAATTTCTTCTAAACTAACTGGCATTTTCTCTTGAAATCGTCAACTAAAGGCCAGGATTACTTTGCGTTTTACTACCCGTATTAACGAAACTTTCGTGTTGAAAGTTCGCTCTGTGTAGGTTCCCTATAGCCCGGGGTCAGTTCCATTCCTCCGATTGCGACATTGGTTATCACCACTCGTTTTTTATTAATTTCTTCTAAACTAGCTGGCATTTTCTCTTGAAATCGTCAACCAAAGGCCAGGATTACTTTGCGTTTTACTACCCGTATTAACCAAACTTTCGTGTTGAAAGTTGGCTCCGTGTAGGTTCCCTGTAGCCCGGGGTCAGCTCTGAGCTACCAGCTACCCAGCCCGGGTGGCGTTCGGACGGACGAGGTCGTAAAATTTACGCCGTTAATCCCTCTGAAAGGAGCTAGCCCGGCTGGCGAGGAAAAGGCTTTAAACCTAATGCGCTTCATTGCTATGTTTATGCGAGAGCGGAGCAGCGTATTCGCGCGTCCGTCTCGCTCCGATTAACCACGTTTTTAAATTCTAATTTAAACGACTTTCCCTGAGCATCCAACTTTTTTGTGTCTTTTTTATCGAGAGGAGAAATTCAGGGTGTCTACAAGCCCGGAATTTCCGGAAAATCCGGAAAAAGTACTGATTTTTTAAGGGCGGTCCGGAAGTATTGAAAAAGTACGGAAATTCTGCAAGAAGATCCGGAATTTTACTCATTTTTGTCGCAATTTGAGCGAGAAATTATTTTTGAAATTTTCGAATTTCGTCAAATTGAGGCACTGAAAAGGCACTAAATATTTCTGTTGAGGGGGTACTGAATTTTTCTGTTGAGGAGGTACTGAATTTATTGGGAATTTATTGACAAATTACTGTAAAAATACTGATTTTTGGCCAGCCTGTTTTTGTAGACACCCTGAGAAGTCAAATGTAAATTCACTGAAGCTCAATCGACTATCGGTTTCTTCAATTCAATTTTTCGAAACAAAACTTTTTAGTGACGTCATAGTGAAGTTATCAAGATTACCCAAGAGTTTTAAAACAAGCAAAATTAGAAATAAGAGTATCATTTTGTTTATGTTAAAACATTAGGGTTGATGGCGGTCTGGAAATTGATAGACAAAGCTTCAGACACCGAAGACGAATGGAAAGTGAAGCGGTAAAATTGGTTGAAACGGTTCTTGTTTTAGATCAAGGAAGAAAATGATGGATTAAGTATGTGGTCTCTACTGAGTTGCAGTTATTACTTTATTACTTATCTACTATGTCCATTGTAAGAACGGGCCTCTGCCAATAAGATTGCTCCATTTTCCTTTTGTTTTCTTTGTCTATAGCTTTGTCTATCAATTTTAGTGATTGACCCGTTCGGTCGTATTTCAAAAATTTAAAAAGGGAGGACTCATCTAGAGGTAAAATAACGCGCCGATATCCGTAAAAATACTGCAATGTAGAATTCGCAGGTGTCTGAAATTTGATGAATTTCGTTTTTAAGTGGAAAGTACTGAGTGAACTAAACGCGAGAATATCCTTAGTTTCTAAATTGAACAATTATTGGAGGAGACATGACGAAATTATCTAATCTGCCAAAATGCACGTGTTTAAATGGGAAGTCCTGCCAGATGACGTCACTAGGCGGTGAATATCTTAGTTTTAAATTTATTTTTAAACTAGTTCTCACATCAGAAAAAAAAAATTATAGAAAATACTGTGAAATCAGCTCTTTAAGTAATCCCAGATAAAGCAATAACTTTACACGGGCAAATTCTCCATCCGGCGTGTCGAAGCAAACTACGACAATGAATGGACGTATTTCTGCCAAACAGAACTATGTGCATTATGACGTGAGCCTTGTTATGCATATATTCTTAGGGATCTTAGGGCTCATGTCTTAATGCAAATAGTTCTGTTTGGCAGAAATACTTCCGAATGAAAATTTCGAGAATCGGAGACCTGGTCTTATTTTTTCAAGCCTAACGTCTCGTATAATTTCATCCATGGGGGATAGTTGAATGAACCTAAGTAGGTTGTCGATTGGACGAGGTTGGCCTTTCATGCTCCACAATTACGTATACACTTAGTCGCTTGGAAAATTGTTGAGAAAAG